GTGATAACAATAACAGTCACCATGGCAGAGAAGACCACTGAGCCCAAAAGCAGCCATGGGAGCAGTCTAGAGAATCTTTGCTTCATTTGGAGGAAAAAGGGGTGGGAGAAGATGGTGATCTTTACAAAGTACAAAACACTGAGCCAGGCGGCAAACCAAAGGCTCACATTGTTCGTAAATGTCCACATGATGTTTATCATTAACTGGAACTCATTCAGGTTGTAGGCCTGCTTGAAAAAGGAAATCATAATTGCGTGCAGAATCACGACCACCTCCAATAGAAATCTCGACAGACCAAGACAGCTCAGGATTAGGTCAGTTGGGGATAATGTCCTGCTTCTGAACCAGTCCATGTAAATGACGAGGACAATAAATCCATTTGATACAGTTCCGGTGAGGGTATTTATAAGCAGAAGTCCAAATCCCATTAGCGACATCTTTCTGAATGCAGAGAAAATAGTGATGCATCTGCTGTGATGTTTACACTTATTCCAATGCTGTCTTTTCAGTGCTAGCAAAACCACAGAGCACAACACTTCGGCCTTCTATTTATGTACAAAAACATCTGGAGAGGCTGGAGCTGTTTTCCACTGTTGATGCTGTTGAGATGCAAATATTACCAGAAAGGATTCTGCTACCAGATTTGTATCTTGTTCTAATATGTCAAGATTTGTGTATTCTACGGAGATGTTGAATGCAATCTTTGCATCCATCTGCACATATCATTGTGGGATTCGATGGCTTAAAACAAATGTTTGCCAAATTCCATCTGTTACTATTTTCATGAGTTTGAAAGGCCTCTCTATCAACTAGTCATGACTTTGTTATGAAAGTTGTTCTAATTAGTTAATTAGTCGGATAATTAAAGTAGACAGTTGAATTTTGCATAAAAGTAAGAGTGATGTTTCTGCATATGGAGGGCAGAAGGAGAGTTTGCCACGACTGAAAACTTTACAAGCGGCGCTTGCACCCGAACACATTCACATGTCCACGGGTGGACAGCTGGAGGAAAAGTAGCCATTCCTTTCCAGCTCTCATTCCAATGGGTTCACTCCCCCAGCTGTTCTGCTCCAGGTCAAGAAGCTCCGTAGAGCAGGATGAAACCCGGAATAGAACAGTCTGGCCCTGGCCCCAACCTGGTGGAAATCTCTTGTCTAGTGAAACCTGAGCCCTGCAGGAAGACCGAGATGTTCTGCCGGCTGTATGGTAGAGGACAGTGGTGACTAGAAAGATCACATGCCAATAGTGTACCGGGTCCACTTCAAAGTGCTGGTTCTTACCTATAAAGCCCTACATGGCCAGGTTCCAGCTTACCTAAGGGACCACCTTTTGCCATATGTTCCCCCAAGGGCACTACGGTCTGGGGCAAAACATCTTTTGGTCGTTCCAGCACCCAGAGAGCTTAAATATGCTGCGACTAGGGCCAGGGCTTTTTCGGTGGCGGCTCCTACCTGGTGGAACAAGCTCCTGGAGGAGACCAGGGCCCTGCGGGACCTTATGCAATTCCGCAGGGCCTGCAAGACGGAGCTCATCTGCCAGGCTTTTGAGTAGGAGCCGCCACTGCCACTATACCATCACCGCGTAGCCATGTGGCAACGTGAACTGGTCTGGGAATGAGAACGGACATGGGGAAGACCGATCAAGAATGAGACAGTAGCGCCACCTGAAACATTGTATTCGAGCCCCCGCCTCGGATGTTATTATGTGAGCACTGATTTTAAATGTAAAATGTAACTTGACTGTTTTATTGGTTTTTATCGTTATGTATGGCATCTGCCTCCTGTTAGCCACCCTGAGCCCAAGTGGAAGGGCGGGATATAAGTTTAATAAATAAATAAACAAATAAATCACCAGGCCTCCCCATTGTGGGGCTATGAATCTTGTTGTACTGGCTGCCCCTTTAGTTAGCCACCTTGAAGGTTTGTTGGGGCACCCTCTGATATGATATACGGTAATTGATTGAGTTATAAGCTTTAACTGTAAGGTTTGGCTTTAAATTGTGGTGCTAATCTACTGTATTGTATTGTATTGTATTGTATTGTATTGTATTGTATTGTATTGTATTGTATTGTATTGTATTGTATTGTATTGTATTGTATTTGATTGTATTGTATTTGATTGTATTGTATTGTATTTGATTGTATTGTATTGTATTTGATTGTATTGTATTGTAATGTATTGTATTGTATTGTATTTGATTGTATTTGATTGTATTTGATTGTATTTGATTGTATTGTATTGTATTTGATTGCTGGAAGCTGCCCTGAGCCCTGCCTGGCAGTGAAAGGAGCGGGATAAAAATCAAAGAAATAATGTTTTTACCGGTCAAAGCACCACCTGGGCTGCTTCCACCCTAGGGTGATTTTCTATGGTAGTCTGATGGCTAGAGTGATTCTGTGTGAAATTGCTCTAGCAACAGAAGCCGAATCTGCACTTGCATTTTAAAATCATTTTCGTGCTGCTGTGACGCCGTCTTTCTCTATGCTTGTTTGAATGTTGTTTGGAGAAGATTCCCCAGAGGTGCAATGGCAGTGGAGCTGCCCCAAAGGAGGATAAACATATGTGGACGTGCAAAAGTATGCTAGCACTCTTTGGGTGTGAAAACGACACCAAATGTAGAGAGCTTTCTTGAAGACGGAGTCAAAAGGCTGGGACATTGGTGGGAAAGAGAAATGCAGATTCCGCCAGAGATTCCAGACAGTCTCCCCAGGGTCATCTGTTTCCTCTCCACTGTTAGCCCTGGGTTCCCCTTCACACATGATGCACATTGTAGCCCCATCCCTGTGTTCTCACATGACCCTTAACGATTCTCTACCTACCCCATTTTAATCTTTTTTTAAAAAATGTTAAGGCGCTTGGGGAACATTGCATAGAAGTAACACAATGAGGCCCCTTGCCCTCATCATCAAATGAATAGCATAAGTGACTAGCAATTTTAGAAGAAGAGGAGGAGGAGGAGAACGAGGAGGAGGAAGTGGTGGTGGTGGTTTTATATCCCGCTCTTCACTACCCAGAGTGGCTTACAATCTCCTTCCCTTCCTCTCCCTACAACAGACACCCAGTGAGGTAGGTGGGACTGAGAGAGTTCTCAGAGAGCTGTGACTGACCCAAGGTCACCCAGCTGACTTTATGTGGAGGAGTGGGGAGTCCAACCTGGTTCTCCAGATTAGAGTCCTGCCACTGTTAACCACTACACCAAACTGGGTCAAGTTGTTTTCCCTTTAGACACATGCAATTGCTCCTGCTGATAGTGTCCTGCCCTGGAAAAAAGTGCCCCCCCAAGTTTAAAATAAAGTTTTGGGGGGCAGAATGGGCAGGCTGTTAATAGTCTGTGTACGAATACAGGATGACATTATGTGACAACTTTTAAAAAATGCATCAGTCAGGTAGCTGAAATATGGCAAATACCTGCTGTGGACTAGAGAGAAGGAAAGAGGAGGGGCACATTGCCAGGGGGAGATGAAGGAATGGGGAAATGATATTCCCCCCACGTCCTCCTCATCCCCCCCCCAACTTGTTATACTGTATATTTTGACCTAATCAAGCCATGAAAGTCTAGGCAGCAGGTGCCTCCACGTCCTTCATACCAAAGATGCCTTCACACTGGTTCTTATTTGAACAGGTCAATCAAGCCTCTTTCTCTGTCCAGTTTCTCCTCTCCTTGGGCCAGTTTGGTGTAGTGGTTATGAGCATGGGCTCTAATCTGGAAGAACTGGGCTTGATTCCCCACTTCTTCACTTGCACCTGGCTGGATGGCCTTGAGCTAGCCATAGTTCTGTCGGAGGTGTTCTTGAAAAAGAGCAGTTTCTGTCAGAGCTCTCTCAGCCCCACCTACCCCACAGGGTGTCTGTTGTGGGGAGGGGAAGGGAAAGGCATCTGTAAGACACTCTGAGACTCCCTTGAGTAGTGAAGGGCAGGGTATAAATCCAATCTCTCCTCTCTCTCCTTCTCCTTCTCTGATTGGAGGAGCAGCAGGCCTCCCGTCCATCTCGCCCTCCTACCTGTGACAATCAGAAGTTCTAACTGTTCCAAACATTCCCACTATTCCTGGTAAGCCCACAAAAGTCAATTCTTGTTTGCTGTTATGTTTAAGAACGTAAGAGAAGCCAATGTTGGATCAGGCCAATGGCCCATCCAGTGGAGGCAAACGGGTTGGAGAGATCCAGGTTCAAATCACTGCTTGCCATGAAACTCCCTGTAAGATCCTGGGCTACTCAACTTCTCTTAGTCCAATCTAACTCAAAAGGTTGTTGTGAAGATGGAGGAAAGAGCAATTAGGCCACCCCCCAAGTTCTTTGGGGAGACACGTGGGACTAAAATGGACTGTGTAAATATAATTATGATTATATAATTACGTTTATAAAAAATCGTACCGTTAGTCCAGCTAACTCTCTGCCTCTATTGACTCTCATTTCAAAAGTGCTGATATGAACCCTTTGCCGACTAAGTGCCAGTTCCCACCTTTGCAGCAGAATTACCTGTTCAGAGTCCACAGTCAAAAGATTCATCATTCTTCTGTCATTTCTGACTCCTCTCCTTCACCATAGTCTAACTAGACTGATAGCAACAGTACATAGCTTGGACAAAGTTCATAAGGAATTCTGAACGGGAAGTAGCTTAGTTTTCACTACTGAGCAGCCATTTCTATTTTCCTGCAGAATGAAGGCTGCTACCACACAGGATTGGGAACTACAACAGACACCCAGTGAGGTAGGTGGGACTGAGAGAGTTCTCAGAGAGCTGTGACTGACCCAAGGTCACCCAGCTGACTTTATGTGGAGGCGTGGGGAGTCCAACCTGGTTCTCCAGATTAGAGTCCTGCCACTGTTAACCACTACACCAAACTGGGTCAAGTTGTTTTCCCTTTAGACACATGCAATTGCTCCTGCTGATAGTGTCCTGCCCTGGAAAAAAGTGCCCCCCCAAGTTTAAAATAAAGTTTTGGGGGGCAGAATGGGCAGGCTGTTAATAGTCTGTGTACGAATACAGGATGACATTATGTGACAACTTTTAAAAAATGCATCAGTCAGGTAGCTGAAATATGGCAAATACCTGCTGTGGACTAGAGAGAAGGAAAGAGGAGGGGCACATTGCCAGGGGGAGATGAAGGAATGGGGAAATGATATTCCCCCCACGTCCTCCTCATCCCCCCCCCAACTTGTTATACTGTATATTTTGACCTAATCAAGCCATGAAAGTCTAGGCAGCAGGTGCCTCCACGTCCTTCATACCAAAGATGCCTTCACAC